TGTGTCACCCAGGAAGAAACTGAGAAAACACATACTGTTTGATGTGCATTGTATCATGTCTCCATTATGCTTCTTCCCCACCAAAAGTTTTAAGGTGCAGGAATAACACAGTGCTAGGGCTGGAGTAAGCTCTTCTGAGTTGCAATGCAGCTTTTTGTTATGACTGCCTTGTTCTGGGCAGTGTGACAGGCTTTGTCGTAAACATAATGGAAAGGGCTGCACCTTTTCCTAGAACAGCGATTGCTCAGAGGTAGCATTTTGTGCTGGTGTGGGAGTTCAGACTTGCAGGCTCCAGCCTTGAAGCTCGAGCAATGCCATCACCTGCATTTCCCTTGGTCCTATTCTGCCTGCATTGGGTTGATCTTAAGCAAGGTCAATGCCTGGCCATAGAAAAATACATTGCTGACTGTGGAGAGACAAGTTATGTCTTTAGAAAAATAAAGACATGGATGTAAAAAATAAATGAATGGTGTGTGTGTCCAAATTGTGTACTTGCGACCTGCATCACTGTGCCTAAAATGGTGGGGGGGAAATGGTTATATTGGTCTCACACAATAGGACTGAAAGAAATCAGTGGTTTAATCACTCACCGAGGGGGGGAGATATCTGGGCTTTTTCATTGCCCTTTGCTCCTCCTCTTTTGGCTTTGTGTGAGCTTTTAAGAAAAAAAAAATCTGTCTGGGGGCAAGCTGTAAACATAGTTGGCCACGGCTGTGATTCTGTGGTACTCTGCTGAAGTGACTCAAATTGGGCCAATTAACAACAGCAGGAGGATCTGGCTTTCCAAAATCTGTGACGAGTAGGATCAAAACATGCATTCAGTCCTGTGGAAGACAAGCGGCCTCCACCCATTTGTCCTCAAGGTGTCCTGCAGCAGAGCTGTAGGCCAAGGCCCACAGTGCCTGCTTGTGAGGCCCTGCCTCCTGAGCAGTAGACCTGGCCACGCGGCTCCTGCTAACCTGTGGTCCTGGGCCTGCCTGGTTTCTGCAATGCCTTTGGCAACATCTGCTTTGCCCATTAGAGCAACACTCCTCTCCTGGCCTCTGGCCCGTGCCTTTGCTGCCATTGATTAGCAGCAATTTCCTTCCCAAACCTGAAAGTTTGCGAATGCCAGATTGGATTGCAGTCTGCCTGCCGTCGCAAAGCTGTGGTGTGGCTGTGTGCACAGATGTATAAATAGCACAGGCTCATTGCCCTCTTAGACGTTTCAGGAACTCTTCTGCTCACTCTGAAGTTGTGATTGCTTTTCAGATGTCTCCCTTTTGAGCCCATGAGTATAAACTTATTGCCCTGCCAACTCTTTGACTCCTAAATCAACGTTCTCTTATTTGCCTTACGTTCCTCCTGTTTAACTCCAGCAGCTGTAGTGCTAGACATCTCTTACCATCTTCATTTGCTCCCTTGACACCAACGTATTGCCCTGCAAAGCCCCTTGTAAGATTTCCCCATCTGGTTGCTGGATGAAGACCTCAGTTATTCCTAAAGCCAAAAATACTGCACTTCAGTAAACTGAAGCGAGGGCATGGTGCTGCTGTTAATTACATTTTGCAGATGAAGTGCTTGTAAGCAATATATTTGGTTAGAAACCAAAGAGATGATTAGGTGAGCTTTTTGGGAGGAGTGTGATATCTTTCTATGCTGTTCAATACAGGGCTACTCTCAGAATTGATGCTTCATTTTGGAGTGAAAAACGGTGCTTTTTTTGCAAGAGTCAATGGAACCTATCACAAGCCAAGGTGCTGTGGATAGGTCCCAGCAAAGACAGTACAAGGTATGTTGGAAAGGGGGCAAAATATATGAAATACCTTGTGGTAGATCACCTCATAAAAGTTATTGCTGCTGCTTCTGCCATCTTTGTATCTTATTACTAAGCATTAATTCTATTTATTATGCTATTTGTAGTTTGCAGGAAGCATCACTTGTTTCTCCTGTGGTGGAAAATTTATGTCTGTTTTAGAGTTCATGACTTACTTGCCTTTCTGAAAAGAAAGGGAAGTTGTTAAAGTAGAACTGTTTTCTTATATAAATAATCTCTTATACCCTTAATAAACAAAACAAAACAAAAACCTCTCATCCAATGCACCAGATCTGTGACCCTTTAAAATTCTAGAAAACCAATTGTATTTAGATGTTTTGTAAATTAGCAGGCTGTGAACTATTTCCTATGTCATAAAGCCAGTGCCAAATCCTTTCACTGTTAAGTCTATACCCACTCTGTCTGGCCGAGCTCTGGTATTTGGGACAATTTCCAGAAAAATTAATGGACAATCCTGGATGAGCTCTTCTCTGGTTAGGTTCCTTGTTTAAGATAATCAGATAACCTCTAAATTTTCTATCCAGCCCCAAGAAGAACAGTGATGCAATACTGGCTGAGACTGCAGTGCAGTGGTCCAACTCCATTGTAGCATGTCCACCTCTTGCCCTGGTAGTCAGGAGTTGTAGTGGGTAAACAGCTGGGTGGGATGTGGTGTTATGGTCTCTACCTCTGTGACAGCCCTTGTGCTGCAAAGCTTGGCCCTGATAACAGGGAATCCTGGCATGCTCCCCACAAGGGCTGCAGGTCCATGGGACCTGGCTAAGGTCTATCCCTTTGTCCTGCTTGAAGCTGTCAACTCCTATCTCTCCCTGCAGCAGAGATGCTGTCAGTCAATGTTGCTTTTCTTGCCATCTGTGGCTGAGCCAGATGCAAGGCTGACAGAATAGGAGGGATGCAGCAGCTCGATCAGCAGCTTAGAGTTCCCTGTCCTTAGTGCCAATGCTACCAAGGTGCTGACATAGCACTACAAGAAGACCGTATAGGTGAGGCCTATTCCATCTCTTTGAATTCAAACCCATCAAAGAAGTGAACCATTCCTATAGGAAGTGATGTATCTGGGAGAGCATAGGTTTGTGGGACATCAGCTCCTCTCTAAATAAATGGACACACTGGGTTGGTTTAACACAGGATGTGGCTGTATTAAAGTATCTCCAAAGGATATGACCAAAAGAAGCTGTACCTCTATTTAACATAGCATCATAATATGGAACCAAACCAAAGCATATGAGAGCATGAAGGAGTAATCTGGTGAAGTGTATAGTGAAAGAGAGGATGGTACTTATAATTATTAAAGAATAATTTAGATCAAAAGAGCTTTCTGGAGGCCTCTAGTCCAACCTTTGCTCAACGGCAGGCCAGCTGTGAAGTTGCATCATACCACCAATGCTGGATTCTGCCTGTAAATGATGTTACTGAAATCAAGATCAAGAAGCTGATCTTGAAGATCTGCTTAGTAAGGCACATGGCCTTCACGATCCATCTTGTTTCAAATGGTAGCTGTCACCAAGTTGCTGCAAATGGGACAAGGGAGGAAAAAATGTTCTTGAATCTCTGCAGGTTAATGTCCTTCCAGGAAAAAAATGGTGCTTGGCTCACACTAGAAAACAAACAAAACCTCCCTGACTGTCTAAATTGCCATCTGCAGTAGAGGGAAATGTTTACCATGGCAAGCTTGAGGGTGATGCAGCCTGTCAGAATTATAAAATATTCTTGAAATTGCATAATGTTGTAGATGGTAATTCTACTTCTGGAAAGTTTCCTGTTGTAAATGAAATCTACTGAAAATCAGCTTGATACAGAATGAAACTGCTCATCGAAGTAGGAATTAGCTGCTTCTTGGTCCCAATTTATTGAATCTTGCTCAAGGATACTCTACCAGATGCTCAAAACCCTGTAACCTGGTAAGGAAGGCTGCACTAGTGAAAAAGTCAAACTGACATAGAAGAGATTGCAAGATAACTACTTAAAACCAAACCAAGCCTCAAAACATTCTGCAAGAGATGGAAATAATAAATGGAGAACCATGGCTGTGAATGAAGTGTTAGAAGTTGTTCAAAACTGACAAGGAAGTTAAAGGAAATGAGAAGAAATTTTTGGCCAGTGGCATTAAAATGAGAACAAACACCACTGTCCCCCTTTGCGGCTGCCAGTCCTCCCTTGTCACCACCTGGAGACCTGAGCCTTCAGGTAGGTAGAGCTGGTTCTTGAAGAATGCAATTAAATAGTTTAAGACCATTAATGGTATTAGACCTTAGAAGGTAAATTACATCAGGATAAATTGACCAGGAAGGTGTTAGAGGTTCTTAAAATCAGAAAAATCTCCCTCAGGACCGTGTGCCAGTGAGCTGATATGAGAGAGGTGGTGGACAGATGCTAACCCCCTCCTACATCACTGCCCAAATGAAAAACAGCTTCAAGAAAGATTTTTTGCTTTTGGATAAGCAACTTCTGAGAGCTTTGGAGAAGTCTGAGGAGCTCTGAGAGCTGCTGGGAGCTATTAAAATGCACCATAGGGGTGGTAACAGCTCCCAGAGAAGCTGCAGGAAGACAACTCAAACTGCTGTAAACATGCAGGTTGACCCAAGCAAGCCCTGGTGATTGTGTAATTCATACTGCTCATCGGGCAGTCACAGGAAAATGCATAGTCCAGCCTTTTCTGCTCATGACTGGCAAGACTTAAACATTGAATCTCAGGCAGATTAAATAAATTTGATTCCTATAAAGGCATTGTATTTGGTCCTGCAGGACCATCTGAATGCAAACATCTAAAAATGTGCATAAAATGCATTAACAGGTTTAAAAACTGTCTGGTGAGTCTGGACATCCCTGTGGAAATAATTGTAGAGTGTGATTCCCACAGTGAGGGTCTGGCCTGGACTGATTCTTTGCCATGTGTTATTTTGCATCAAAAAAAAAATATATATATTATTATTATTAATTATTTATTATTATATATATATTATTTACTATTATTATCATTTATTATATATATATATATATTATTTCAACATTCTCACATGAAGCATAAAGTCTATGCTAACTGTTTGCAGGTGGAAGAGGCCAAGAAGCCTGCTGACACTGGAGTGTCTGTCATGCTTTATCTAGCCTCCAAATCAGATGAGACCATATCCTGAAGCAAGCCAACACCTTCCAGCTTCAAACACTTCAATATCAGGCAGTGGGTATTTACATTGCACTTCATTGTCAGTGTTGTTTTCATGTTTTTATGACCTTCTGTGCTCGTGAGCTTTTTCAGGTGTTGACCCTGCTCCCACGGCAGAAATACAATTTTGTGGCAGTGCCAGTACTTGCTGAGCTGCATTCAGCCCCATGTTGCAGCATGGCCATGGATCACCTTCTGCTGCTCGGACTCCTGGTCCCAACATGTGGTGCATTCATATATCCTTGCACTGTAATACTTGTAATAACAATAGCATTGTCATTACCTCTTTTTTAACCTTGCTCTAGTAAAGGGTTATTTTGGAAGGGCTGATAAAAATGCTCAATGGAAGTTGTCTTGTAAATAAGCAGTCGCACACTAACAAAATTAAGGTAGAGTTCAGAAAGGCCAGGTAGCACAGAACTTGAGTAAATCCTGCAGAAGCTGCCTGTTTCGTCTGCTGCCACCACCGTGGCTGGCTGCGAAGCTGAATAACAGCCTTGGGAGCAAGCCAAGATGCTATTCTTAAAGTAAAAAGAATGAAAAGCAGGCATGCCAGAATGCAACATCTGTTATTGGCCTCAGTGCCTCAGGCTGATGTTGCAGTACAGTACAGACTGAAGTGGGGGCTGCAGCTCTCCTCTGCAGGTACAATGAAGTCCCTTTGCTGCCAAAAGCCCTCTAAGAAACCTTTTGAGTGACAAAGCATGGTGTCCGGCTGCATCCTGCCACCAACGGAGAGCAACGGAGAGAGTAATGCCATAGTGTGCTGAGTCATTGCTTCTGGCTCTGTAGCACTGATGATGGGTGATTCAAAAAAAAAAAAAAAAAAAAAAGGCAATTTTTTAGGACAAAGTTCCACTGTCACATCAACTTCAAATGGACACCAAGCAGGCAGTTTTGGGTAGAGCAAAGCATTCATGACTGCATATATTCCGAGAAAATGCAGGGCCTACCATGACATGAGTCTGAGTAAGGTTTAGTCCTGGGAATTCCTAGGTAGGAAGACACCTTTAGAGGTCCTAGGGACAATGCTGCAGCTCCCTAGGTTGCTTGGGGCTGTCCCCAAGGATGGAGATCCACCACCATTCCTAGGGACACCCCTCTCACGAGGGATATCACACCGACCCACGCAACACTTAACACACTCAGGTAATAAACCAGTAAGCACAACCGTCGACACTTAAATTTGTGGTCTATGTCTAGAAGTCTTGCTTAAATCTGTTCTCCTTTTTGAAAAATCATATACTTGTCACACAGCAATAAATTATGCCCTTGTTGAACTGTGATTCCCTAAGAGCAATCAAACCACTAATGATGGACATATGGTTATTTTTGGAAGTTGATTTCCTATTACTTGGTTTGTTTTCATTTTTTCTTGAGTGACTTTAACCGTGGAGGTCTGTGGTTTCTTTCCTGGATTTGATAACAGGGACAAAATAGAGACACTTGAAACTTCAGCGTGCTTAGCTACTTGATTCAACAGACTTTTGAAAAATTTTCTCACAGAAGGAATTTTGGGGAAGTAGGAGCTTGCCTATCAGATGTAGTTGTGATAGAGGACAAGAAGGAATGAAGAGCAGCAAGCATAAAGAAAAGAATGCAGAAAATTCATACTGAATCCTGATCTGACTTCAGAATTATTTCCTTGCTTGCTAAAATCAAGAGTGACTCAGCCCTGTTATTTGGCTGTGCCACCAAAGGTGCAGGCTAGACTTGCTCTTCAGGAGACCAGTGGGTCTGACTGGAGATGCTTCCAAAAAGAATTTGTCTTTAGAGGTGAAACTGGTGCCACTTGGTAAAGATGCTGTGATGATCTGATCTTACCCCTCTGAACAGCCATGGAGGAATGGGATCTGTACGGGTGATATCGAATGGAGAAATGGGATAGGGAACAGAAGAAAGGCAGGTGATGCTGGAGGGGGCCAAGGGTCCTGAGGAGTTGGTAAGCTGGTCCAGAACCAAAGCAGCAGGTCTGAGGTAGGGATAATCTGTATGTAGCACGGGGGAGGTCACATCTGAATCCAGGGGTCAGTTTGGGGCCCCCAGTACAAGAGAGGCGAACTGGAGCATGCCCAGCACATGGCCTCATGAAGCTAGGGGTGGGAAGGAGCCTAGTGTTTTCTTTCAAAAAAAAACGTAAATGGTGGTTTTTCTTTGTAAGGTAACAGGCTCAGTATTTTGAAATGGGTATAAGGAAATCCTCCTTGCAATATGCGTTACTCTTCAGCAAAATGCAGGGAACATCTATACTCATATACCCAATAAAAAAAAAATAATCTTCCAGAGGTAACTGCAAGCATTTGTATACAGCTGCAGAATCAAGATGCCGCAGACTGACTCAAAGCACACAAGTTTGAGTGACTGATTTCATTTAGAAAGTTTCAAATCCACTTACTTTCCAACTGTGCTGGTTGTGTTCATTTATTAACTTCCTTCTCCACCTTATTTGCTGTGTGTCAGATGTTCACACCCAGGAAATGTGCACTTGCATAACTGAAACTTTTGCAACGTGAATGTTTAGTGATAACTTCACCTTCTGTTTTTTTCTAAACTGTGCTTTGCTGTCTCCGTGGTACATGCAGATCTATAGTAATAGCATACTGTTAATTCCTTAGCTGAGTAAAACAGACCCACACTCTTCCTCAGATAGGTGATAAAAGCTCTGAAAAATAGCTGCATGTAGCATGGGAATTGGCTGTTTTCTGTGGGCATGGGGCAAATGAAGCATACTGACCAAAAATGTGAAGCAACGACAAGCAGCCAGGCCACAGATAAGAGCCAGGTCTTCTCCTGTTTTGATTCTTGAATTCATTTGTTTTGTTTGAGTGATTGGCATACTAAATATCATAGACAAGTGTTCATCTCAAGACCATTTATTGCATGTCCCATTAGGAAAAAAAGGATTAGCAGAATATTTTAATTAATACTCATGAAATAATTTTGTCATCTACCCATAAATTTCAGATTAAAGTTTTCTTCATTTGGTGGGTGCACATAAAGAAGGAATGTGCATTGCACCCTATAAAAGCATTGCTCGTTTTGAGCTTTGATATGCAACTCCTGCACTCAGGAGCATGGATTCAGTCCCCCGTTCCTTAGTACCAGTATTTCTCTGTGCTTTCACAGCTCCTCACGTCACAAGAACTCAAGTCCAGGCTCTGCAACATTGTCAAGTTATGCATTCACACTCTGCTAGCACAGTCATCTGGATCACTTGGGAAACCTCAAACTAAAGACAGACATTACTTGCAGTTGAACATAGATGGGGAAAGCCTAATTTTGAGCTAATAAATTAGCATTTTTAAGTGCAAGCCTCGTACACTGGAGGGTACAGGGGCTCTGCTTCCACCTCTTGGTGAAGAGGGAGAACAGCTGGAGAACCACAGCACCCTGAGGAGCAGATGCTTACCTGGAGACGTTGTGCTGTCTGTGGAGAAAGGGGAATAGTGGGCACAGACCATGCAGCCATGGAATAGGCCATCCAAAGAGCAAAGGTGGTCTTTATCCCTCTTCACTGCTTGTCTGGCAAATGCAACAGTTGCTCTGGTCCTTTGGCAGGGCCAAGGACTCCTCCTGATGGGGAGGTTGCCCAGGTGCATCTCAGGGTACCCAGGCTGGAATTTGCTGTCACCTGTCTGAGTGGGATTAGTAAATAATAGGGGAAGGTATAATTTGCCTGGTGATGTAGGGAAAGAAGAAATGCCCTGTTGTCTAGGCCAGTATGAACATACTGTGGGGGCTACAATGAGCTACCAGGCAGAGCAACCCCTGCTCCAGCATCAGAGTTACCATGAAGCACATCATTTTTTCTTACAGAGGCTCAATGATGCATTATTTTGAGCAGCATATATAGAGACTACCTGAATGATGCTGTCAACATCTGCTACAAGGCTGACAGTGTGGTTTCTTACTGAGCCCTCTATAATCCAGGGAGCTGAGCAGATTTTCTGTCTATATCTGCTTGAGTGCACCCTCAGAAAATCTGCAGATGATACCAAGCTGAGTGGTGTGGTTGATAAGATGGAAGTAAGGGATGTCATCCAAAGGGACCTGAACAGGCTGGAGTAGTGGGGACATGTGAACCTAATGAGGTTCAACAAGTCTAAATGCAGAGTGCTGCACCTGGGCCAGGGCAATCCCAGATGTGAATACAGACAGGAGAATAACTCATTGAGACCAGCCCTGCAGGGAAGCACTTGGGGCTTCTGCTGGATGAAAAGCTTGACATGAGCTAGCAGTGCACACTTGCAGCCCAGAAGGCCAGCTGCATCCCACGTTGCATCAATAGAGGAGTAGCCAGTAGATAAGGGAGGTGATTGTCCCCCTCTGCTCTGCCGTCATGATGCCCCACCTGGAGTGCTGTGTCCAGGTCTGGAGCCCCCAGCACAAGAAGGAGGTGGGTCCAGGGGAGGGCCACAAAGATGATCAGAGGGCTGGAACACCTCTCCTACGAAGAAAGGCTGCGAGAGCTGGGGCTGTTCAGCCAGAAGAACAGAAGGCTTCAGGGTGACCTCATTGTAGCTTTTCAGTACGTAAAGGAGGCTTATAAAAAAGGTGGAGAGCAACTTTTTGCTCGGGCAGATAATGATAGGACAAGGGGGAATGGTTTTAAACTAAAAGAGGGGAGATTTAGATTAGAGGTTGGGAGGAAATTCTTCCCTCAGAGGGTGGTGAGGCACTGGCACAGGTTGCCCAGAGAGGCTGTGGATACCCCACCCCTGGAGGATTTTTAGGCCAGGTTAGATGAGGCCCTGAGCAACCTGATCTAGTGGGTGGTGTCCCTGCCTATGGCAGGGGCTTGGAACCAGATGGTCTTTGAGGTCCCTTCCAACCGGAGCTATTGTATGATTCTGTAGACCTAACTCATCTGAGGCAATTACAGATCTTGCACAATGTAAGAACAAAATTTTTCCCGATTAAACATATGTATCTGAGTTGTTATCTAGAGCATGCATTTCATTGCTTTTCATTTGATTGTAATCTCAAAAGAATAGATATATACGAAGATATAAGATGAGATGGGTTAGATTGCCATCTACCAAGGTGCTGAAACATGCACTGATGAGAGAGTTACATGGACTTTACTGGCTTCTGTATTAAATAGTTGTACACACAAATATTTCCTCAAAGAGATGAACTGACATGCAAGAGTCTTCCTTTTCAATATGGAAAGCTACCGTAACAAAATCCTACAATGCAATGAGCAGTCTTGTATTTACCACACAGTCACGCATGCTGTCATCTTTAGAAAAGTGTTGGAGGTTCTAGAATGATCCTTATTCACTGAACTATGAAAAAATGTGTTCCTTAATTTATGATAATATTTCAAGGATGGTTTAATATGAGTATTTTACTTTGAGAGCAGCTTGAGTATTTCTTTCATATGTAGCATACTGAAGACGTTGTCTGAAACCGCAAACAGAATAGCCCCTGAAAAAATATTTGTGCCATGGCTAAAAATGTGGAAACAAGAGCTCATCAGGCCTTCATTTGCAATGTTAAGGCTGCAATGCTACATTTGGTGCACGATGAAGAGATACCACAATGAAAAACTATGCGAAGGTTCAGAGGTGGAATCAGATACGCATCATAGTGGATGAAGTGACGCTCAGTGTTTTGCAATTTATAATCTGGGTTGGGTGAGAACGAATTACTGGTGGTAGGTAAAGCTTCTCCATCCCCAGTGAAAAAAGCACTCTGAAGGCAAGATGGTCAGTGAGAAGACAGTTTGGTCTTCTCACTGTGGAATCCCAGGAGAAGGATTGTAAGCCTGACAGGACCAATGTCACTTTGCAAATGATAATGGAGCCCAAGGGATTGTGGAAGTGGGGTCACAAGCTTGGAAGTGAAACTGGAAGTAGGGTCACCAGTGAAAAGAGTTTGGGAACCTCTGCTCTCTGGTCTGTGGTGGTGGTAAGAGCCCTCACAATGTTCAAATCTCTTAAAGGGAATGTCTTAACCACCAGGTCATGTTACCTTCCAAGCTCAATAAACTAGATGTAACCACAAGCCTCAAGAAAGGAAACCAGGAAAGAGAAGAGAGAGTTTTATCTCAGATTAGGCAGTAAACCAAAGGTGAAAAATCCAGATTCTTATGGACAAGCTGAATTGTAGCAAGAATTTAAGTCTCTGTGTACTTCTCCCATACAGTTTCTAAGCACAGGCTGCTGCTGATTCCTACAGGCTTCTATGAAAAGCTGAAGTTTAAAAAAATGCAAGTTTTTTCCAGAAACATTTTGTTGAGAAAAATCCTCAAAAGTACCTGAAATCATAGGTTTGCTAAGAAAATTTTAGAAATATTACAAGAAAATATAAATGTATTATTTCCAGCATGGTGGGACTTACAAGCATTCAGTGACTGTTTAGTTGAGAGTTTGTTAGCCCGTGACTATGCACTGACTGCTCAGGTATTCTGAGCCCTTATTCCTACATATAGGCTGGTGTCCTGGTTAGTGTGGAGATTTATGGCCTGCTCTTGTCCTCCTCATCATGGGGGCTGCATAAATAACTCATGTGGTCTCACAGTTCTCATATTTTAACTTGTTTTAGGAGGAGAATATAACTGCTCCCTTCAAAGAAATCCCAGCTCTTGCTGACGATAGCTAGCCTTTTCATAATGTCATCATTTCTCAACTACTCTCATGACTCCATGACACACACTACAAGTGTGTGTCAGGGCATCTGGATTTTGGAACACCACAGATATCAACTTCTTCTGAATTACCGCTAACTTGAGAAAGGTGTTTTAAATACAGAGGACCTAAACTGCTACGAAAGATAGCATGTTGCTTAGAAATCAGGGGGAGCTACCTGTTTTCCTTCTTAGGTGAAGAACAGAAAGTTTCAGAATTTGTTCTGGATGTGGCTGGATGTTGTTAGGCGTTGGACTTCAATCCCAGGGAAAATCAGCTTTGAGATAACCAGCTCCACAAAAATTCATTTATTTGGTACATTTATTTGGTTTTAACTATATATATGCAAACCATAAACTATTAACTATATATCTATCTAAAATCTTCCATCCTTTTTGTGTCCATAGCAGAAAGAACAACCTTTATAGCAGCTGCCAATGGAATAAGATGTGCAGCAGAGGGAACAGCGCATTCTTCCTGCAACCTGAAGCTTGGCTCTGGTGGTGCTCACTTCAGGTGGCTACATGTGTGGTGTAGATGCCGCGAATGACTCACAGATGACTGCAATGCTTAAAACTTATTACAAGGGGTTGATCTGAGGTGAACAGATAAAGGAACGAGAAATTTTACATAGCTCCATGGATGGGTTTGCCAATGGCAAGGTAGAACTCGTTGGCCTCCCTCTGGCAAAGCTTAGTTTTACAGCAAAATATTCTTAGGAGTTCTGCTAAACTTGTGAAAGCCAAGTGAGGGGTGATGCCTGAGAGCAACACAAGGTGACCCCTGTATCCAGCAAACCAGACACGTCTGGAATGGTGTGTGAATGCAACCAAACAACCATGCAATCTAACACACCGAACTGCTGAGAAAACACCTTCAGAACCAGAATTTAGCTGGTGCATCTGGGTCATCCTATAGCTGCTCCTACAAGAATGTGTTTAGATCTATGGGATCTTTGCCTTCAAGCTTGCCCTGTTCTCTGTTGGCTGTATCTCTTGTGGAGAACCAGAAGAACTTCAGAAGAAATGGCTATGAGTTCTTACAGTCCTCAGTATTATTTCCAGCTCATTTCAGAGATGCAGCTTGCCCATTCTCATTCCATGCTGCAACTAGAAAGGGTGGATGGATTCAAGAAATGCCAAAACAATGCACATTTAGTATCAAATACAATTTTTACCCTTTGCCACTTGTCAGCAGCCCAGACACGTAAACATGGTTGTACCCATATGGGTGCTGCAGCAGAAGAGACAGAAGTTCCAGCCAACACTCATGGAATTACTTTAACCTGATGTCAGCAGTACTGAACTGTCAGTGGGTAATCCCTGTGTCCATTTGAAAAATACAAGGAATTAAAATGTTGTGAAAGCTCAAGTTTCCCCAGTGTCCTAGAGCAAAAGCTTAGGAGATTCCAGAAGCTGAAGTAGCCCTATGTTTCTTGGGATCAAAATTCACATCTGCTTTTAGTGGCTTGGACCTAACCTTAATGTAAGCAACTGCTTTGTCATGTTGCACTAGGACTCTATCTGGATGGTGTTGCAATGTCCTTTGGGCTGTGAGAGAAGACAGTGCTTGAAATGTGCATGTTTGAGCAAGTTCAATGCAGCCTGACTTCCTTTCTTGGATGAAGGCAGAGATTTGTGGGCTATAATATTGTAGCAACAAACCAAATTGGTGTATAGAAACAAGGGCATGTCCCTATTCCAGTTGCATAAAAATGTCAGAGTGTGGAGAGTATATGAAGGTAGAATGAAGGCCTCATTTATTTTCTTTCCTTTAAAGTTTATTTTGTTAGTGTGTTGTGTTTCTTGCTGCTGAGAATGATTTCATAATTACAAACATATGGTGAAAATTTCTTCGTATTGGTAGAGTTGAGATCTGAACTCAGGTCTCGTCTAGACTGTATTCCTGTGGCTGCCAAGTGGGTAAATCTTGTGGCATATTTTCTTGGCATTTTACCACAAGGAGCAAAGAGAATGGACACCAATTGTGACCAGAAAGACATTGATGTAGCCAATTTATTGGGTGAAATTATTCTAACCTTTCTTCTGTCAGAAACTGTGGTTACTACTGCTTTTGTGGTTGGGCTCATGCAGTGTGCCATGGAGCTGGTATGCAACGTAAACTTAGTGATATGGTTTAGTGGAGGACTTGTTAGTGTTAGGTCAGAGGTTGGACTAGGTAATCTTGGAGGTCTCGTCCAACCTGAATGATTCTGCGATTCTGTGTGTTCATCACTGCCAGCATATGATGACCCAGCTGGTCTACTGATGATCTCAAAAAACACGGTCTGTTTGTTTACCAGTTTTGCCAGGGATGGTTTTTCGAGCCAGACCCTATAGCCATGGCCTAGACATTTCCTTCTGACAGAAAGCAGAATTGAGACTGATGTAACTACTGGTTTTCATGAGCAGAGGCTTTAAAACAAATTGTCAGAAGTTACAAAATGTGTTGTAGAACTGACAGTTCATGTTTTACTTATTAATGTTGTTCCAAATGTAAAACTGGAGAGTACTTCAACATCATTGTTACATTGCTCTTCCCCATGAGGAAAAATGCCTTTGGTCTGCTGGGAATGACAAACAATACTGGTGGAAGGAAAATCAACAAGGCTAAAATCAAAATGAGTGTATTTATAATTGCTTTTACCATGGTCCCTGGAAAGCTCCTGTTGCAAATGCAGGGTCCTGTAGGGTTAGATTCTATGCAGAAATAGAACAGAGCATAATCCCAGTCCCTGAAGGGTTTGAGCTATGTAGAACTGTTCCACTGAACAGATTGACACCAACATGCTTGATGAGGAGGTTACAGGCATACTTCTACTGTTTCTAATTGAAAAAAAAAAAAGATTTTTTTTTTTCAATTGCAAATTATATTTCTTCCATCTTGTCAACGGCTCTTGGATGGCCACTGTGGAAGGATCCCTTTTGTAAGACAAAAAGGCTATAAAAGTAATAGAAATGAATGTCTGCAGCTGAAGAGCTTGGCTGAGACTTGAAAAGTTTGCTTTGGGTAGGATCCAGGTCCTGCTGAGGTCTACATGAGTTTTGCCTCAGTGGGGCCAAGCTTTCACCCTTGGAGACCATGTCCTGAGGAAGAATTTAGTCTAAAATAATTTTCAAAACTTGCTTGACTCACATCCAAGTGTAGGTGTTTTTGTTTGTTTGTTTGTTTTGTTTTGTTTTGTTTTGTTTTGACTGAGTGGTGTTGCATTTCTGGTTGACTCAGATTGCTCCCCTTAGCATCTTCCAGCAGTGAGCTCTCAAGGAATTTCAAGCACAAGAGAGGATCAGATGTGAATGAGACTGCTGCTGGGTTCTTAAACCAACAGCTTCTACAGGCATGGTGCCTACTTAAGCAATGTATTTTTGGTGGGAGATGGGACCTTCGAGCCTCAGCACATGAGCACACCACACTGAGGTCATGGCCATGACCTGGAGCCTGGCTGAGGGTATGGCTGAGGATCCTGGCCATCTTTGGGAGATCCATCCCTCCCTTCTACAGATGCTTCTGTGGGTGAAGCAACTTTTTGAAAGAGAAACAAATAGTTAAAATAGTAAATAGTAAAAAGCATTTTGATTCCTACCACACATGCATGCTCTTCTTTATCATTTCCCCTATTCCCTGGACATTTTTCTTGTAGGTCCCAGAGACCACATTGGAAGTAACTGCTATCAAAGTGAGGTGTATGCTGTTCTTCTTTTTCTGCATAGAGGAAGGACAACACACTTGAATATTCAGTCTCAGGTTGGGAACAGGTGAGACAGCACTATTGTACCCTTATTAGGTGCAACTTCTAGGCACATTTCATATATATCTTAGATATTTACTTCCTCGTAAGGGGGTGTCGAGAGGCAGGAGACCTTTTCTCCATTAACACCAGTGACAGGACCCGCGGGAACGGGGTTAAGCTGAGGCAGGGGAAATTTAGGCTTGACATCAGGAGGGGGTTCTTCACAGAGAGGGTGGTTGCACACTGGAACAGGCTCCCCAGGGAAGTGGTCACTGCACCGAGCCTGTCTGAATTTGAGAAGAGATTGGACTGTGCACTTAGTCACATGGTCTGAACTTTTGGGTAGACCTGTGCGGTGTCAAGAGTTGGACTTGATGATCCTTAAGGGTCCCTTCCAACTCGGGATATTCTATGATTCTATGATTCTATGAAATAGATATATATAGAGATATATATCTTATATATATAGATACAGATATAGATATAGATAGATAGATATAGATATATATCTTAGATATATATCTTATATATATCATATATAGATCTTGCTTTGTTGTGTTGCACCGGTAGCCAGTGATGTCAGTGTGGTAATGTTGGATTTTACCTCTCTGTATCAGCCTGTGAAGAAGCATGGTGTTATCAGTGGCCTTTTTCCTATGGTGAAAGCAGAAATGGCAAGTGCTTCTTTGATCATTCAGAACACGGAGTTGGGAAAAACAGTGTGTTCAGCCCACAGCCCTGAAACCTGTGGCAATATGTGGCTTGATGTTAAGACCTGCTTTAGTATCAGATTTAAGCAGTATATAATTATCAAGATTTAAGGTTTTATTCCTGAAGTTAATTTGTTCCATAGCAGACCCTGGCAGATCGGGTCAAAATTTTATTTATTTATTTATTTATTTATTTTTTGAAATGGAGTGTGAAATCATTTTAACAGGTTCTTCTTTGAAAACCTTGAAAACTGTTTAAGAAATAGATTTACAGGCCCCGAGACTATCCCATTCTGATGCACTTGAAGTTGTCCAGCATGGAGTGCATGATTTAGACTTGAAAAAAAAAAGAACCTGTGCATTAGTGACTATAGTACAGGGGCTACCAGTCATCAAGAGTCTCCTTTAAATCTCTGCTGAGCTGTGCTCTCTAAAAAGTGTGAGTTTGTGTGGGGAAGAATAATAAGAAGGAAATCTGAGAAAATTGAATTTTATTTTTAGGAAGATAACTTCTTTTTGCTAGGAGAACTTTTATTTTCTCTGCTTTAAAATAAAGCAGTGATATGGTCCTGCTGTGCCTCAGGCTGTCCACTTTACATAAGGAAGGGCTGAAAAGATGGACCATCTGGAAGCCTGTGCAGGAGTGTGCCAGTGCTGTTCTATGTGGAAAAGAACCCTTTGGATGTATTTTTGAACACCAGTGAATACACTGAGGATTTTGTGTTGTGTGTTGGGCTGATGGGAACATCTCAGAGGATTTATGCTTAACATGATAGTGCTCACTGCTTCCTTCCTGTTTCATCCTGGGAAATGGCATTTCTCTCAGGCTTGCCTCCTTGCACTATGATTAGCACCAAAACCATATTTGTAGAGAATAGACGGTGAAGAAAAGTGTTTTCTCTTGTTGTTGGTTGTTTCCCTGTCTGGCTTCCTCTGCAATCAGGAGAGCACTCTGCATTGCTGCTTCCACTGCTTCAATAAGGACCAGTTGCACTTCTTCTCCCATGCATGGGTGATGGTCAATCTCACTCTTGCCTTCCCTTCCCTTAGCTTTGCAGGGATGACTGTGGGTGCTGCTGAAGCAGCTGATTTTCCCAAACTTTTGGGCTGGGACTGTTGCTGGGTGTGAGGATGTCTGCTGTCTGTGGGCTCCAAATTGTTTTGATCACATATCCTTATCAGTGAAAAAGTTTTGAGTGCACACCCAATATATACATGTTTATTTATTTATAAATTTATGAATTTATTGCATACATGCACTTCTGAAGTTCCAGTATTTCTTCCTGCACTTCAGTGCATTGTCTCATGTACCACACTTAGGAGATCACCGCTCTAGGTGGTCACAATACAAATGGAGCCTGGAGGCTGGTGGCTTGATCTTGGCCAGATCTGCTCTTTTCCAGGGCACAAGAAGACCTTCCACATTTGGTCAGTTTTTCTGGGAAGCCTGGAATCTCCTTGGTTCCTGCCAGACCTGCTTACTCAGCAGGCTTTGCTTCAGTGTTGCTTCTGAGATGAGGAGAAATTCCTCACTGTCCTGGGAAAAGGGATGCATCTCAAGCACATGCAGTGTTTCTCTGAGGTTGTGTGTGCAGGTGTTCAAGTCCCAGCCCTGCACATGCTGATGCCTATTTGGCTTAACCTGCACATTTGATTAAGACCATGCAAGGTGCTCTGTTGCTGATGATTAAGAGACCACTCAGGCATAAGGATTAGAGCCTTGTACTCACAAGCTTCTGCAGGGAAACACAAGCCAGCTCTTTCGTTTTAAAAAATGTTGGGCGACTTTTTATTTTTTTTTGGGGGGGGGATGGAAATTTTCATGAAACATACAAGATCAACTTCACCTCCTAAAAAACAATAAAAACCTCCCATTGCTTCGTGCACCCTCCATCAGGATATGACTCTTGTTTTTGGGTGGGTTGGTGGGCAGGGGATGTGGGCAGGAGAGGGACATTTGAGAGCCGATGCATTTTCTGGAAAGGACAATTGTAGGCAATGTTCCTCCTCTTAACATGGCCAATGTAGAAAGTGATGAAGAACTAAAGGACATCACAATGTCGTGGACATTTGTGCCACTAACTGCAGTTGCTTTTGTCAACCATATGTACAACTGCATTCTTTTTATAGTACTGCATATGGCACTATCATAATTGATTTTTTCATGATTGATCTGACCTGTATCATTCTGTTCACTTTAGCAGAGCTAATTCAAACAGATTGAGATTAGGACTAAAAATATGGTCCAGTCAGCAGAGGAACCATACAGAGCCTGACTTCATAGCAATGATGATGCACAATCTGTTTCAGCCATTTAGGTTTGTACTATTTATATGTAGTACATGGTCAAGGCAGTGTCTGTTTTGATTCCATTTGTGTCTTCCAGAAGCTGTGATATGTGGGGAGCAAGTGGTGGTGTGTCTATGCTGAAGATCACTCTGGTTCCCATGGTTTGATGCCTTTCTGCCTTCTGCTGCCTTTGGCCAAGTGAGCACAGCCATTCATTTCCTCCAGCAAGGCCAGCAGGTCTAGGACTGTGTGGCTCATGTCTCTGTCCATGCTGCAGTAACACTATGGAAACCACAAGTGCAAAGGATTAGATCGGCAATGCCCCAGCCCTGGGCAGGAAGAGGTGATGGTCTCTTGTGTCATGTGCTAAGCTTCATAAGTGAGCTACAGAAATGCCAATGAAGGAAAAATGTGGAGTAGTTGAACAGAATCTATCCTCAGGTTTAGAAGCAAAAACCTTTTGGTGTTCTCTGAATCTCCCCTTGCTGAAACTGGAGCTTGGCTCTTTGGTTCAGATTCTCAAACAGTGGTGGCAGACTGTGGATGATTGAGAACATTAGGTATGGCCCTAAAGATTAAGAAGCTGCAAAAATGAATGGCAGCTACGTTCTCTCCCAGTGTTCTCAGCTGCAGCTGAGAATCTGGACCAGACTATTTTTGGCAAAGGGGAAAAAATAAGTCTCCTTAAAAAAAAAAAAAAAAAGAAAATGTTGAGCCCTGTGCAAGGGCAAGGATCTCTTCTGTTGTATAGCAGCAGTATTTTAGAACCAAAATCCACTTGCTTTGATCATTGATGGAAAAAAAAAAAAAAAAAAGGAAAAAAAAAAAAGAGAGAGAGACATAAAATGGATTTATTGTGAAATAATGGATTTGATCCCCAGTAATTCTTTCTTTGTGATTAACTTGGAATATTATTTTTGTGACCGGTAGAGTTGGACTATGCTGGCATAACAAACCAAAGCATGTGAGTTTAACTGCAGGATGAGGTTGAGCTGTGAATAGATCAAGTGAATTACTTGCACAGAACAAAGCAGCTGATGAATTTACAGTTCTATTTTTGATGACGCAAAATCTCCAGACAAGCAAAAACTACAGAAAAAGCTACCCCAGACTTACAGCAGAAAAGACCCCAGACCTTCTCTTCTCTCTTCTTCATAGCTGAAAATGCACCTGAGCTATTATGATCTGAGGACTATTGGCTAGAGCTGTTTTGAGTATTTCCTGCTACGAGAATTACAGTTTCTATCTGCTCCTGATGGTATGACTAAGAACTTTGGACTTTAAATGTTGGTGTAAGTTTCCTTGATTTGTGTATAACCACAGTGCTTTCCCAAGAGATTTGGCAAGCTCCACTTTCTCTGCCCAAACAGTGCTGCATTCACACATCTTAGGTCTTCAGCACACAGTTAATTTGGCTGGATATGTGCTGAGAAGTCTTCCTGAGCAGTTTGTTATGGGTATATTAAAACCAAATAGGTACAAAATGTGCTGTAAATCCTTGGTATGTAACTTCTAAGTCACAGATCTTTCACAGAAAGCTACTCCAAGAAACTTCTCCCACTTTTCCTGCCAAATTTTAACTTTCTGCAGTCGAGGTGGGCCTATAGATGGTTTCTAAACAGGGGGAGAGTTCTTCTCTATTATGCTTTGAAACAGCTGATCTTAAAACAAAACAAACAAAAGCTGTGAGACAGAGAGCAAGCTAAGGAAAGGGGGAAATATTCCTTGCCAGCCCCATTCTTGGTTTTGCTGTTGGACTCAAAACCACACTTCTGTCTGCAGAGGTCACTTCTGCAGCTGAACGTTGATCAGGCTCCCAGCCTCACCTTAACCTTGGGAGCTGCCGTCCTAAAGTGGCATGAAAGGAGTAGGTGAGGAAGAAAAAAGAAAGCGAGCCCTTTAAACCCCCTTTGGAGATGGGCCACCTTAGTCTGACGGCCTGCACCAGCTGCGTCTGGCAACAGACTCGGACCTTGCACTGCTTTGAATGAGAGCCGTGTTGCCTTGCAGCCCTGGGGTTTCAGAG